CTGAAGCGGGCCCTGCTTGAGCCGCGCGGGCCGCAGGGTGTCGGACGAAGGTGCTCTCTGCGGGCCGGAGGGAGGAGAGGTGGGGGTGAGGGCGCGGCCCCGGGCCCTGCCCATCAGCCCGCCTCCTTCCTCCCCGCAGCCCTCCCCGCGCCTCCAGGGGCCCCGGCCTCTCCCCACCCCCGCCATTCTTTTTCTGGTTTAGGAATCGAGGGGCTCAGGGGTTGAGCTTCGACCTATGAACCAGGAGGTCGCGGTTGCGGGCTCCATCCCCAGTAGGGGGCGTGCAGGAGGCAGCCGGTCAGTGATTCTCATTGTTGATGTTTCTCTCTCCCTCCCCCTTCCTCTCTGAAATCAATAAAAACGTATTTTAAAAATCATCACATTTGCACAGGATTGGGTTAAGCATAACCCTTCGTTTCCGTGACACCTTCTGACCTTGGGGATGGGCAGGTAAGGCCCTTGCCGCCTTCTGTGCTCCCTCCTCCCTTCCCTCCACCCGTTTCTCCTCTGCCTTCGCCCTTTATTTCTCCTCCCGTTCTTCCCTCCTCTCTCTTCCTCCTGCCTCCCTGTTTTCTCGCTCCCTTCTTCTTTCTTTTCCTCCTCTCTCCCTTCCTCCTCCCTTCCCTCGGAGGTTTTCATACTCGTGAAGCCTTAAAGGGCATTTGGAAACCCTTTATTTTCTGCCTCCCCATCCAGAACATAAGCTGCGAGGGAAAGAGGGGCCCTTTTGCTCTTTACGTGTGGCCTTCGTCTGTGACAGGTGCTGCTTTAAGCTCCTTTCAGGAGGGGCTCCTGCGGTCCTCACACACCTGTGAGGCGGGGTCTGTTATTATCTGTTATTACTCGCCATTTAGCGGAGAAGGAAGTTGAGGCACAGAGGGGTTCAAGAGTGTGACCACCGTCACAGGTCCCTACGCGGCAAAGCAGGACGAGAACCCAGGACGAGCGAGAGTCCAGGCCTCCAACACCTGCTGGCTGAGCCAAGGCAGCAGGAGCACAGCCTGGTGGCACCAAACACCGAATGCAGAAGGTTTCAATAAGAGATGGACCCATTCTGCCAGCTGGTGTGGCTCAGGGGTTGAGCACTGACCTATGAACCAGGGGGTCACAGTTCAATTCCCCATCAAGGCACGTGTGGGGGTTGTGGACTTGATCCCCAGTAGGGGGCGTCCCATCAATGATTCTCATCACGGATGTTTCTGTCTCTCCCTCTCACTTCCTCTCTTGAAATCAATAAAAAAAATTTTTTTTTAAAGAGAGAGATGGACTCATTCCTAAAACAAGAAACTAAGTTTTTTTTAAAGATAATCATGAAAATATTTTTTGAATAATTTTTAGTGATATGAAAATATGTTTTGATACGACATATTACAGTTAAGTAAAAAAGCAAAATAAAGGTATTTATCATCCAGGTAACAGGTCTTTATACTTTGGTAGATGAATAGTTGCCTGTCTCCCCAGCTAGAATGTGAGTTCCTGGAGGGCAGGGTCTGTGCCAGTCTGCTCACCACCATGTTCCCAGGGCTGAGCAGAGTACTCAGCAAGTAGCCCCCATTATTATGTGGTTTATTGGATGATGAATGAATGAATGAGTTCTCTGGCATAGACTGACTCTTAACAAAGAAATTGAAAAGAAAAAGTCATTAACATATTTTGAAGGTTTTTTTAAGTGACAAATATTAACCATAATTAAAGCAAGAAAACGTGTTTCTCAAACTTTAAAACCAGGTCCCTCTGGCTAAGATTTTGTTAAATATCACCATATAGAATTACAGTTTATGTTATGGAATAAAATTTTTCTTCCTCTTCAGTTTTCCTAATATAAAATTAAGTCATAATCTTGAACATGCTTTTTCAAAAAGCCTGCCCGAGCCCCTGGTGAGAGTCTGATATGTTACTCTGCAATCCTACCGCTCCATACAGGGCAGATTTGGCAAACTGGCAATCCCAGTTTGACCCTGGCTCACAGACCTGTTTTGGTTGGCCTCCTGGTTTTTTGTTGCCCCCCCCCACCCCCTTTTTAACTTTTTGAAAAACTAACCTATACAAATAGTATAATGAATGCTGATTATCCAGATTGAACAATTCATGGCCAATCTTGACACCTCCACCAACTCTCCCTCCTACATTATGTTGAAGCAAATGCTAGACATGCCATTTCATCTGAAAAAATTTCAGCATGTCTCTCAAGATAAGGGCAGCAAACTCCCCCTGAGTTCTCACCACCAGGATTTCAGCATTGGCCGCTGCCTCCTCTGATAGAGCCAGCGCCACCCCTGTCTGCCCAGTGGACCTGGAGCTGAATGCTCACTGCCTGACAGTGTAGACACTGGAGGATTAGGGCATAAATTATAATCTGAGTTAGTGGATGTGTGAAGGCATGAATAAAGGAGTGAGCAAGTGGACAAAGGAGTGACAGAATGAGCAACAGAATGGATGAAAGAATCAGTGAGTGAATGAGCAAATAATTGAATGAAGGAGTAAGCAAATAAACCTGGGCCAGACCATGGACTCTGGACCAATCAAGTCCTTTAACCCCTCCATGCCTCAGTTTTCTCAAATGTAGAACAGGGATCATGAGCTGTCATGATAAATGACTTAGAATGTATCCATTGTTTAGGACTATGCCTCGCCTAGCGAAGTGAGCCCTCTGCGTCGTGTGAAATAAACACACAGCAGGCGCACGGAGAACCGTCGCCTGGCCCCTCGCAGCAGGGACGGCGGCCCTGGACCTACCGAGGAGCTGGACCTCGTCGGTGATGCCGTACACATCGATGAGCGCCCAGAGCGGGCCGCCCACGGCCACGCCGCAGTGGAAGAGCACGGGCTCGCCGTCGTTGACGCTGTAGAAGACGCGGCCGTGGCGGTCCACCCAGTAGGCCAGCACCGTGTCGCGCAGCGCCAGGTTCTCGGGCAGCGCCTTGGCCCAGTAGCCGGGCCGCGTGACCAGGTCCGGGCAGGCGTACTTGGGGATGTCCTGCGGGCTCATGAGCGACGGGTCGTGCACCGTGAAGCCAAAGCGCAGCGCGCCGCTCCAGCCCGGGCGCACGGCCACCAGGCGCAGCCTCACCTGCTCGTACAGCCGGATGGGCCGCTGCGTGAACGTGACCCCGTTGCAGAAGCTGTTTGCGCCGCGTGGCCCGGCGCGAGTGGCCGTCCAGCCGCACGTTCTTGCCCTTGGCCTGCGCGTGGAAACGCGGGGCTTCCCCCAGGACCGGGCGCCGCTCGGGGCCAGGCCCACAGCACGGCCGGGTGGACAGGAGGCGGGCGGGAGGGCTGGAGTCTGCGGGAAGAGACAGGCAGGAGGGTTAGGGCCCCTCAGAACTGTGCCGCCCCGATTCATCTTTTAATAAAAATTCCATCTTAATTAAACCAGTACTTGGTGAACTTAAGAAGGTTCCAGCCACCCCAATCAGCCCAGCACTCCCACAGCAAAGTCACTATACCCACTTCACAGATGAGCAAAATGAGACTGTGTGTGTGTCGGGGGAGAAGCACTGTCCAGAGCTGCTTCACCCCCTGATGGACCAATACCAACGAGCTCGTCACCCAGCAGCCAGGCTGGGGTCAACCCACTTCTCCATCCCCATCAAATCCTTCCAGGTCCTCCAGGGGCCACTCCGGCTGCAATCTGTCCAAAGGCCACAGGGCCTTGGATTCTTGGGGAGAAGTGTGTGAGGGGGGGGCCGGGGGGGGGCAAAGACTGCTTTTCTCTGCAATTTTTGTTCAAAAGCAAAGCAGAAACGGCAACAGAAAGACTGAGGTCCGGGGATTCCGGGACAAGAGGATGAAAGGCAATAGAGTCCAGTCTGGAGCCAGGCACTGGCCCTTCCTGGCCGGGATGGGTGGGAGAGCTGGTCACTTCTCTAGCCCGTTTCCTCGCCTGTGAAATGGGGACATTGCTTAACTCGCACAGCTGCTGAAAGAGCTGTGGCTGCAGTTTCTAGAATAGGGCCTGGCGCAAAGTATGTGCTTAATAGGCAACTAATAATATCCTGATACTGAGGTTCCAAGGAGACCGAGGCTACAATTCTGGGACTGCCCCTTCCCTTTACCACAGAAAATGAAGACATTCTTTATAAGCAAGGCGACTTTTCTAGGACATGAACCTTTTAGGATGCTTTTCTTAGGGAACTTTGCCCCAAAGGACTTGGAGAATATTAGGATGGTCTCTTATTTTTTAAAATATGTTTTTATTAATTTCAGAAAGGAAGGGAGAGGGAGAGAGAGATAGAAACATCACTGATAAGAGAATCATTGATTGGTTGCCTCCTGCATGCCCCCTACTAGGGATTGAGCCCACAACCTGGGCATGTGCCCTGACCGAGAATCAAACCGTGACCTCCTGGTTTATAGATTGATGCTCAACCACTGAGCCACACCGGCTGGGCCGGGATGGTCTCTTTGAAAGGATCTGGTTGCTGGCCATGCACCCAGGTGGCCTGGGGCTGAGGCGAAAGCGTCATCCTTCCCACCTCTCCTCCATCCCAGGGGCAGTTCCCGGGGGCCCTGCAGCCTGGGGGTGGCGGGGTGGGTGGTTACTGCATGAGTCTGTGCTGTTGCTCACAGCGTGCCTGGCAGGTGCTCATTAATGGCAGGCACTCCCTGGCACACGATGGTCTAGTGGTGGGAGAAGAATGGCACCCCAGGGCATGGCAGGCCACTGCAGGGACCACTGCTCCCACGCCCAGCCACGGGGTTCACTGTGCTCTGGGCACATCAGGGGGTTCAATTACTACGGAGGCTAATGGGAGGGAGGGCAGGAGAAAATGAAGAGGGAGAGGCGATGAGGAGGCAGGCACGCCATGGCCGACCCTCCCCGGGCCCAAGGGGAAGGCCCCAGGCACCAAGGGAGGAAACCATGCTGGGAAGACCTCTCTCCGAACAGAAGCCACTGACCCATAGAAGACAACACAAGGAATGAAGCCACGGTCCCACATAAGAAAAGGCACTTCAGGAACAAGAGCCATTCCTCCACTTGTCAAACGGCAGGGGGCACCTAGTGTGTGCCAGGCACCATTCCAGGCACTGGAAACACAGCAGCCACCAGGCAGATGAGGGGGCCACTCGGTGGTGCTGACATTCCAGACTCCCTTAGGCCTGGGTGACGCCGGGGCCCAGAGGCCCCAGACTCAACCAGGGACGGGACAGAAGGTGATGCCCACAGAGCCAGGTCCTGAGGGAGGAGAGGGGATATTCCAGGCTGAGCGAACACTTGGGGCAGAGCGGGGGGAGCCAGACTTTGCGGGGAGAGTAAGTACTACGGTTGGCGTGGCAGAGTGTCTGAGGTTGGGCAGCCCCTGCTTCCTAGGGGCGAGGGGTGAAGTTGTCATCGACATCACAGGGACCAGACAAGAAGGCCCTAAATGCCAGCCCGAGAGGCTCAGACTGCACAGCGTGGGGGACAGGGAGCCAGAAGGGCTTCCAGCCAGGCAGCCAGCATTGCCCGCCAGGGAGGGGCCCCCGGCAGCGAGGACCGGGACACAGAGCCAGGCTGCGGCCAGCTCTGAACCACAAGGGTAAGCAAGGGCCCACGGGAGAGCTAATTCATTCGGACAAAAATCAACGAGTGGGGAAATGCCACCGGTGAAAACCACCAGGAGAGGCAGCCCAAGGTCTCCGCACACGCATGCTACGGCCCTGTCCGTCCGTCCATCCGTCCGCCGAGCCACCGGCTCCTGGCCGCCGCCTCCTCCCACGTCCCACAGCCGGATTCTCTCCAAGGTCCCCGGAGCCGGCAAACTCTCCAGGAAACATTAAATACAACCACAGATGAAAGCCTTTTGGGGCCCCAGAGACCACAAGCCACCCTTATTTGATTATTTTGAGCTCCCCTGACATCACTGTTGCTTTTCCAACCTTATCTCTTAATCGGAGAGTTTCCATACCAAAGGACTTGGGAATTCTAAGCAGATGTTCCTTCAGAGCGGCCTCATGATGGAAGTGGTTGCTGGGGTGGGCGAAACACTGCTTTGTTACTATAAGGGGAAGAGTCCTGCAAATCCAACTATATGTTAGGGTGCACTGCAGCCAAGTCACCAGCGAAGTTTACATATTTGTTTAATCTTGATGATATGATCCAACTTCCTTCAGGGAATGAGGGATAAACACTCTTTTTTTCCCCTCTCTGAGGCCAGAGCCCTGATGTGCGTTAAAGAAAACAGAGGGAAAACGTTTCTAAGAAGATGTGTTATTTACACAAGTTGAAAATGCTGAACATAAAAGAGCAGGCAACCTCCAAATTGTACACCCACACCTGCTTTTAGCTCGGCCCAGGGAGAGTGGCATCCGAGTTGGGAGATGTCCGTGGAAAACCCAGACTTCAGCCTTTAAATCACTGCAGGAGACGCTGCAGCCACACTATGGAAAGCTCGGAAAGGACAAAAACTGCCTCGGTCTCCCCACTTGCACAGCCTACCCCGCATTGCATTTTCAGGTCCCCGAGAGAGCACAGAGAGAGCCCAGTGGGAGTCCTGGCACATAGTAGATGCTCACTAAATGTTTTTATTTCCTAAATCTCAGCTTGAGAGGCAGTCAGAAAGAACACAGGCTTGGAGACAGACAGACCCGGTTTAATTCCGGTTTTGTCATATCTTAGCTGTGTCATCTGGAGGTACATGCTTAATGTCTCTGGGTCCCCCTCACCAGACCTAGAAAACCGGTAAGAGTCATCGGCACGCTGCAAGATTGCTAAGAAAAAAGGAGGCCAACTCGTCAGATACTCAGTATGTGGCACATAGTAGGTGTTCACTAAACACTCGGTCTCTTTTTAAAACCACCTTATTAGAGAAAAGGTTTTTTTCCCGGGTCAGAGATGCCTGCTGTGGGCCTGGGGAATACGTCCTGAACGGTTTCTCCCAGGGAGGGCCAGCGACCTTGGCCAGGAAAGGCCCCTTGCAAACCCTGGAGTTGCTTTCCCTTGATGTCCAAGGACACAGGCCTATTTTTAAGCCATCCCAGCAGCGTCCCAAATGTGCACTGGGCCACCTCCTGAACGGATCCCGCTCCTCGCCCCAGCCCAGCCTGGCCCGGCCTTCCTTTGCTCCAAAAAGAGCCGGGAAATGGCGTTTACCGCCAGAGCGGGGCAGGCAGGAAGCCACAGCTCCTGCTCCTCTGGCCGCCGAGATGACAGCTTCCAGCGCGTTGGCATTCAAGCAGATGTCATTCGACTGAAATTTTCAGCAGATTCTGCTCCACAGGGGGCGAGAGCTGCCAGGGAGCCCAGTCTATTCTGCACCCTCCCCGCACCCAGCCGTGGACAGAGTCCTGATCACGCAGGCGCGGGCCTCGCGTGTGTTGGGTGCCGTCTTCAGGACAACCCTTCAGGGTGGGTTTACCCCCTTCATTTTCCAGATGAAGAAACTAAGGCTCTGAGAGCAGCAACATTGGGCAGGTGCGCCCTCCTCCCAGGCAGCCCCGTGGGGGCCCGTCACAGGCCTTGAAAGCAGTGCAGGCCTCTTTCCCTGAAACGTACCCACAATCCACGCGACATTTGACATGGGGCTTCCGGGACCTGCCTGACATCCCGCCTCAGCCTGTGGAGCGCAGGAGAGAAGTCTGTGATCCAAGCGACATGTGCCCAAGTCCGCAATGCAAACCAACAGCGCGGGCGGCAGGAAGCCACGTGGTGTGTGCGTGCGCGTGTGTGTGCATATGTGTGCGTGTGTGTGCGTGCATGTGCATGTGTGTGTGTGGTGGCATGTGCATTGGAGAGAAAAGGGAAGGCTGGTCCCGGGCAGGGCTCCCCACCGCCTGAAGCAGGGCGAGGATGTGGGTCCCCGTTGGCCCCGAGCACGCCTCTCCCACTGGCGGGCTTGAACGTGGGCTAGAACCAGAATAGCCCACGCGCCTCACCCTGCCAAGTGGGGCAGCGGCATGTGCCCAGGGGCCGCCGCCAGCTTAATGGGACTTTGTTCTCTGCCCCAGAGGCCTGGTCAGCCAGCACCCCGCGTGGAAAGGGGCCAGCCCGCGCTGGAAACTGCCACCCGCTCCCCTCCCCTCCCTTTTGCAAACAAAACCCTCAGTGCGGTCACCTCAGTGCAGCCAGTGACACTCCTGTCGGCGGCGGGGAGGCCGGGCGGGAGGCCAGAGGTCACGGGACGCTGCTGCTGGGAGAAGCCGGCTCCTTCCAGGCCAGGCAGGCAGCCTTTCCGCTCAAGTGGGCTGGATGCACGAGTTCCCAGGGCGTGAGGTCATCCAACACCCCCTCAAAGAGTTCTCAGTGGCCCCGGGATTCCCAAGCCTGTCGGACCCCCTGCTGGGCCCCTCCTGATAACCCGGCCC